GAAGGCTTCAGGACTTTTATATTTTGACTGTGTATATATTATGATGATTTACGTTTTCGCTGATGATGGCTTTTGATGAACTTATGTTTTGACCGGACTTTTGGAAAACTTTATGCTCTCAGTAACAATATAATTTTATTAAAAATTACGATAATGGTTTTCCAAATTAAGTCACGTTTTAAGGTAGCACCCCGAATCAGATTTCGCAAAGTAAAAGATTTTATTGCGAGATTTTCGCACTCTGATTTTACGATAAGGCAGGGTGTTACAATTGGTATCAGAGCCACGTTTCTGCGTCTCTGACAAGTTTTTTTTTTAAGTCAGTAATTTTCAGAAAAACCTGAACCGTCATGCTCACGCCCCGCCGACGACAGGTAAGTGCTGATTTATGTTTTCAGTTATAAACATATTACTTTGTCTATGCTCATAATTAAGGATCAGGACTTTAGTTAAGATGCTCGAATCAGGTTCGGACATGACTCTAGAATTCAGGGCATTCAGATATGACTGTAGAAAGTAGTATCATCCGATATGACTCTAGAATTTTTCAGGATTCATGTCAGTGATTATCGGCCATTTTTGGCAACTCGTCAAGAGATTTGTGTGCCTCAGTAATCAGCCAGAATGTTATCACGTATTCAGTAATGTTAAACTTTATCAATGTTCAGATGCCGCCACGTAGGGAACCCGATCATCATGCTCCTACTCAGGCTACTGTAGTCGCCCAGTTCCGCGACTATCACGCCGAAAAGTTCTCAGGGCAGGGAGATTCCCGCATCGTAGATGAATGGATTCAGGGCCTAGAGTTTATCTTTGAGGTCATGGACTGCCCCGATAGATATCGCGTAATCTGCGCTCAGCTTCAGCTCACTGGAGACGCTAGGCTCTGGTGGAATGCCTACTGGAGCATGCGTCCCGGTGAAAAAGCGGGATGTACGTGGGACATGCTCAAGGAGCTAGTCCGCGAAAAGTACTATCCCTCATATTATCGGGCAGAGATGGAGCGTCAGTTCTTAGCGCTCCAGCAGGGCACTCGTACGGGTGATGAGTACGAGCGAGAGTTCACTAGACTTGCAGCTTTCGTACCGGACCTAGTTCGCACGGAGGCCCAGAGAGCACAGCGGTTCATCGACGGGCTTTATCCAGCAGTCCGTCATAACATTGTGGGACACGGGACTCAGACCTACGCTCGTGCAGTTTCTATCGCCCAGGAGGTGGACGCTAGCATCAGGAGGGAGGCCGTCCGTGATCGTGCCCAGCCATCCGCCCCAGTTCAGCCATTCGCAGCTCCACCAGCTCTACCAGCTCCTCAGCCGGCAAAGGAGAAGAAGAGGAAGGGGAAGGGTGCACAGACTGACCGGAGGACCCGACAGAGATAGCAGCAGGCTCCACCGTGCCCGACTTGTGGACGACTTCATCGGGGAGAGTGCCACATGGGTCAGGACATCTGCTACTACTGCCACGAGCCTGGACACTTTGCGAGTCGCTGTCCGAAGAGACTCCAGCAGCAGCCTCAGCAGCCTCAGCAGCCACCACAGCAGCAGCAGCCACGTCAGCAGGCACATAGGCCGCCTTAGCAGCAGCAGCAGAGGGGCAGACAGCAGGCCCGGGTTTACGCGGTTGATCAGGCAGAGGCAGCTCAGCAGCCAGGTACTATGTCAGGGATGGTTGTACTTAATGATATTCCTGTTTTCGCTTTGTTTGATACTGGAGCAACGCATTTCTTCATTTCACGACGATGTCTTGATGCCATCAGAGTTCACGCCGTTACAGCTGTCAATCCTCTCGAGGTGAGTTTAGCCTCGGGACGAAAGATAGTGACCTCAGCTAAAGCCTTAGATCTTAGCCTCTCCATCGGTTGTCGATTATTGTCTACCGACGCGTTTGTTCTCGAGATGAGGGACTTCGACCTTATTCTCGGAATGGATTGGCTATCCTTCTATCATGCAGACATCAGGTGTCATGACCGGGAGATCACTCTCTATCTTCCAGGAAACGAGTCGATCACTTTCTTTGGCTCCAGGAATCGTTTGCTGCCTCATGTTGTTTCGATGGCGAAAGCCACTAAGTTACTGCGGCGAGGCAACTGCCAGGGTTATCTGGTGAGCCTTGTCGACGATTCTCAGAAAGCACGCTCACCTCATGATGTTCCAATCGTTCGTGAGTTCGTGGACGTGTTCCCAGATGAGCTTCCAGGAGGACCGCCTAACCGGCAGGTGGAGTTCTCAATCGATCTTATTCCAGGGGCCGGTCCAGTATCCAAAGCCCCGTACCGCATGGCGCTTAAGGAGTTGCAGGAGCTTAAGACTCAGATTCAGGAGCTGTTACGACTCGGTTTCATCCGACCGAGCGTGTCACCTTGGGGAGCACCCGTTCTCTTTGTTAAGAAGAAGGACGGATCCATGCGCATGTGTATCGACTACCGGGATCTTAACCGGTTGACGATCAAGAACAAGTATCCGCTTCCCAGGATCGACGATTTATTTGATCAGCTGAGGGGAGCCTGTGTGTTTTCAAAGATTGATTTACGATCAGGCTACCACCAGCTGAAGATTAAGGAGTCAGATAGAGCTAAGACCGCTTTCAGGACTCGTTACGGCCATTACAAGTTCGTTGTCATGCCATTCGGTCTCAGCAATGCGCCAGCAGTTTTCATGGACCTCATGAACCGTATCTTCCATCCTTACCTCGATCAGTTCGTTATTGTCTTTATTGACGATACCTTATCTACTCGAAGAGCCAGAAGGAGCACGAGAAGCATCTGAGGGTAGTTCTCGAAACCCTCAGACGAGAAAAGTTGTTTGCAAAATTCTCCAAATGCGAGTTCTGGCTCCAGCGAGTATCTTTTCTGGGTCATGTGATTACTCAGGCAGGTATCGAGGTGGATCCTTCCAAGGTTTCAGCCATTCAGAACTGGTCGACACTGAGGAGTCCGTCCGAGGTTCGCAGTTTTCTCGGTCTAGCTGGTTATTACCGCAGGTTTATCGAGGGCTTTTCCAAGATCGCCCTCCCTCTATCCCAGCTAACGAGGAAGTCTGTGAAGTTCGAGTGGACTGATGGTTGTGAGGCGAGCTTTCAGGAGCTCAAAAGGAGATTAACTTCAGCACCGGTGTTGACTATTCCCGATCCTTCTAGGAGTTTCACCATCTTCAGTGATGCTTCGAGACAGGGTTTGGGATGTGTCCTTATGCAGGATGGCCAGGTCGTCGCGTATGCTTCACGTCAGCTTAAACCTCATGAGCAGAACTATCCGACGCATGACTTGGAATTAGCAGCAGTCGTTCATGCCCTCAAGATCTGGCGACATTATCTATACGGCGGACGTTGCGAGATTTTCACAGATCATAAGAGCCTGCAGTACATCTTCACGCAGAAGGAGCTTAATATGAGACAGCGCCGTTGGCTCGAACTTGTCAAGGATTACGACTGCTCTATTCAGTATCATCTGGGAAAGTTGAATGTCGTAGCAGATGCCCTAAGCCGAAAGGTGAGGGGTGACTTGACGTATGTCATTACTCAGCAGAGTCTGTTGATTCAGGAGTTTGTCCGGATGCAGCTTCAGCCGATCGATGCACTTCCCATAGCCGTTTCGGGGAGTACCAGTGCCAGTATCAGTGTCATGCAACTTCAGCCGACGCTGAGAGAGAGAATCCGACGAGAGCAGGCTTCTGACGAGTTTGTTCGTATCATGGAGGCCAAGGTTCGCGCCGGAGGCGTCGAGGGTTTTCAGCTAGGTGCCGATGGTGCCTTAGAGTTCAGAGGCAGGATCGTGGTCCCGAAAGTCGAGGTATTGCGGAAGGAGATTTTATCAGA